AGATCATTCTACCTCACAAAATGGATGTGTTCCAGAGTAAATCTCCAGCCTTGATACTTTGGGTGAAAGCCCAATAGCTGCAGACTAGGATACTTCTTCCCTGGGATGCTGAGACAGCTCCCGCTCCATGTTCAGGACAAGTCTGGAGCTGAAGTTGCTCTAACACCCAAGTGCTCAGGGGTATTCAGGTATCTTGGTTTCACATGCACAGCACTGTGATTTCTGTGTGCTGAAGGCTCTTCACTTAATCGGTGTTATTATCACACCTGATGAGGCACAGCAGGTGATATTTGAGATGCTTGCCTTTTGATTCCTTGCAACTGAGCAACATTTAGTAAGAATTACTTCAATCAGCTAATCAAAAACATGTTCAATGACATTAGGATGAAGTGGGCTCTAGAACACCTAAGCAAAGTTCTTTTTCTTGTGGAAATCTTTCTGTAGAGAGAAAAGTAAATAAATCCCAATGTGATCTGTATCTTGTAAGCTCTCTGCTCCTTGGGCTATTGATAAGTAATTCCTGAAAATCCTTTGCTATTCCCTATTTCAGGCAAGGTTTGCCTTTTTTCTGGTGGAACAGGTTTTTGCAAACCTTTTCTACTCGTATTTTGGTGGCGTAGCTGAGACCAGCCAAGAGCCTGCGGGACAGCTGCCGGGGCAAGGGCACGCAGCCGTGCAGCCGTGCCGCGGCTGGGCTCTGCGAACGCAGCCGTGCGCAGCCGGGACAGCCTGGTCTCTGCCTCCCCACGCCAGGTAAATGGGGTGGTGGGGCCGCTTGCAGGTGTCATTGTGATGGTGGTGTGGGTAGGCAGCGGTATGCTCCTTCGCCGCATTGGTGCACTCGTTGCCATGTCTATTGAATGGGTTTTCACCCCTTAGCAAGGGTGTTCTCCAACTTCAGGAAACTGATTTGTGTGGAGTTTGGTTACCCAAAAGGGCCGATGCTGAAAGGACAAGGCGGTGGAGCTGTAAAGGGGCAGAGTACAAAGGTTGGTGCAGTGGGCAGAGCAGGGGGCAATTCCTCCATCCTCCGGTCACCGGGGAGCTGGGCTCGCAGGTCCCAGTGCTTGCTGTGTTACTGGCTCTGAGGACAACTGATGGGTCAAGATTCCTGTTCGGAAGAATCTCCTCCCAGAAGGGCCCATCTGTTGGCAAGACCCGCACACAGAGATGGAGCTCAGCATCTTCTCTCTCAGTCAAAGGGGCCCTTAGGGACCGTCCTCCCCTCTTGCTCCAGCAGCGGCTGTCCCAGGTGAGAACCAGCCCCCCTCATCCCTTTCCATGCCGTCCTCCTTTCACTGCCAAGCGGGACTTGCACCGTAGGGCTCTCTGGCCCGAAACCAGGTGTTAAAATCCTCTGTAGCCCATTGCACAGAAGATATCCTGTGATTCTCTGTTTGTCACAAAAGTGTGTGCTTTCTGCCCCTTTAAAGAACTTTCCCTTGAAAAAAATTGATGTAAAGCCTTGAGACACCTGGACCTACCTGTACCAGCTCCTTCTGGCCTTGAGCCGTGGTGGCAGGGATGCACCCAGAGCTGGTGGATTGTGCCTGCCTGCAGGCAAATGCATGGGCAAGTTACTGCCAGCTAAATGTTGAAACAGCCCTATCCTAGATTAAGCCCTTTTTTCCTTTTTTTTTAATGGGACGGGGCAAATATTTCACATTAAACTCTGCAACATTCCGGCTTTGCTGGTCTGTTTCCGTGGCACTGCGCAAACGTGCCCCAGCTCCCTGACAGCTCACGTTAAGCTGCGTTCAATCACCTTCCCCTGGAAATGGGGAAGGAGCCCGGGCAGAGCCGTGCTGCGGAGCCGCCGCTCCAGACTGCTCCGAGGATGAGTCACCGCGGCGAAGGCTCCAGTCTGAGGGAGGCTGAGCCACCACTCTAATGCGCGGGGCTTTCTGCACCAAGGACTTCGCCAGCCTCTGCCTCCTTCTTTCTTTTCTTCCTGACTTTTTATTCCTCGTCTGTCTTTGTCTCTTGCCCGCCCTCCTGCCCTGCAGAGCTCTTTAAGATTTCAGCAATTGAAGTGGGAAAAAAAGCCAGCCTTTTTTCTGCTTTTTGCTGCCGAGAGCTGATCTGTGTGCAGAAGAGACCGGTCCCTGCTCCTGCCCGGCTGAGCCCGGCGCAGCACTGCTTACCCTGTGGGAAAGGTGGGGTTCGGAGGTTGCCCTCAGGCTTTTTTGGTGTGGCACCCACCCCTGTTAATACGCGGTGGGGATGCCACGGGGGCACGCGGGCAGCACTGGGGAGGTCTTGCTCTTGAACATCCCGCTCAGAGGCGGCAGAGGAGGAGCGGGGCAATTTGGAACAGAGGGCAGCCAGCGCGGTGGTGTGGCTCAGGGGCCTTTTGGGCTTCCCTGTGCTCTGCGGACTGGGGCACAGGTGTGGGATGGGGACCGGCCAGACGCCTCTTCCCCAAATCCCCACACTGTTGTTGGGCATGGGGGCACAGGGGCTTTGCCTGCTGTCTGCCTCTGACACAGCTGAGCCTCCTGAGTCATCTACTTTAACAAAAATAACCCATCTTTTGGCTTAAAACATGGGCAAACTTCACTGATGCCTGGCTGAGCAGGCCAGGTGAGGTGATGGGCCCTTAGCTCTGCAGCGAAAAAAGTCCCCAAAACCCTGTGGGGACCAATAAGGCTCAGAAAAAAGAAAGTCTCCCTTCCTTCCCCCTTCTCCATCCCGCTGCCAAATTCTGAGCTGTCTTCTCCAGCTCTGTCTGTCCATCCATCCATCCAAAACACTCTAGAGATGGGAAGCAGCAGAGATCACTTAAAATTCCCCTTGGCTGTAGTGAAGCCGAAGGCTGTGGGCAGCCGCTGCTCCACCGGAGAGTCTCTTCGCTTGCGGCAGGGGGGGGTCCGCTTGCGCCAGGGGCGGGACGAGTCTTCCTGCCGAAGGATGCTGCGGAGCGGGTCCCACCCTGCCCTCCCCACGACGTGGCTGCAGCCTTTCGGATTCTCATCAGAGCGGTGCAGAAAAGCCTGAGCGGCGTGGCAGCCTCCGTGGGCGGAAAGGCGATTTGTGCTGTTTTCGGAGGATCGGGAGCTCTGCGGACGCGATGGCTTTTCAGACAGGACTTGCTCTGGAACAAAATTGGGTGTTAGCTCAGGGCCTTGTGAAATGTATCCCTCTCCTGCTCAGCACCCACATTTCCAGGCACTCCCAAAATACACCTGGTGGGTCCTGAAGGGGTGCATGGTGGTTTTGCTGGGTGCATTGAAGCTGAGCTGCCTTTCTGCTCACATCCAGCCTGTAGGCAGAGGGATGCCTGTGTTTTGTTGCTAGATTAGTCACTGCCGTGTCAGAGATAAGTGCCCCATTCACAGGGCTGCCAGAACAGCTAATACCCGTAGAAAATTGCAGAAAACCACGAAAAAGCAGAGCTGTGCGCCCCTGCACCCATCTCGGAGCCCCCAGGCTGCGGTGCCTAGCTGTGGCTGCTCACTTGTACTGCTGTGGGGATGAGGAGCCCCAGAGAGGGACCCACACCTCTACCGTGCCAGAGCCCCTCAGAGATGTTGTCCTGCCCCAGGGAGCTCCCAAGCCAAGATCCTACACCAGAAACTTCAGCCAGGCAGCCACAGGCTTAAAGCCATGGCTGAGCAACAGAAATAATTGTCCACAGCTGTATTTTTCTCCAGTCCTTTATGGGGCTGCCTTGTCTCTTGCTGCTGGGGTTCGGGGCGCTTGTTGCCCCCCCAGGGCACACGGATCTTGCCTGGCATGGGGCAGCGCTACATCTGCATGCTGCAGGGATGCCCGGCCTTGCAGGGGAGCTGTGGGATGGGTCCTGGCCACGGAGGTAGCATGGCAGCAGTGGTGGCACCTGGGGGTGGGAAGGGAACTGCAAGGAGTCTGGGTGGTTTCTTTTTATAATTACTTGCATAGGTTTTCCTATAGGTTCCACAGATTTTAGGGAGCTGCCCGTTT